CTGCTGGACCATAAACTGTCCTGTCCATGGTGTGATCAGCAGGGACTAATTTCCAGCCAGAGCAAACTCCTCAAAAACAGAGCGTCTCTTTGGGCTGGTGGGCTTTTATTCCCCTGGTGCTTTGGGAGGTGGGATGAGGAACAGTTGCTGGAATGTTCCACTTTCCACACTGAGGACAGGGAGCTGAGCAGGAGCTGTTGGGCTGGAGTCAGAGCTCAGCACTGGCACTGTGGGGAGGGGACACAGCCCATGGAGGTGTCCCAGGCTCTGCAGAAGCCACAGCTGACCTGTCCTTGCTCTCTCCYCTCTCCACAGTGCTACCTCTCCGATGCCGATTTCCACGACATCTTTGGGAAGTCCAAGGACGAGTTCTACCAGATGCCCAAATGGAAGCAGCAGAAYGAGAAGAAACAATTTGGACTCTTCTGAGCCCACAGGAGGCATCCAATGACTCTGGGACCAGCCCCTCTCCCTCAGGGGCTGCAGGGAAGAAGTGCAGRCATTTGCTCAATGATCCCACCCCAGCATCCCAATCCAACACAGTCTTTCCAGCAGCCACTGTTCAGGGGATGGCTCCTTTCTCCCTGCAAACCCAGAACCCCCAGGAGGCAAAACCTTTTGCAGGAACAACTTGACAGGACCTTTCTCCCTCTTCCTGACACTTTACTGCTGATAGCCACAAAGACAAGTGTGTGCCACACAAGTGCGTTRTAGCCTCATCTTTCCCTTTTGCAAATTGCCACGTGCATGAGGCCATGATCTTCCTCTGTTTGTAGAAGTTTAAAATTAGGCAAGACAAAGGCCATTTGCAGCTGCTGTGTAAATTCTGAATGGGGAGAGGAGGGGGAAGCCATAAGAGGATGGAGGGGAAGCCTTGAGGTCAGGAAAAAGGTGATGGAGTAGCCAGATAGTAGGGTAGTCCTTGGCGGGACCCCAGACAGTTCTGCCCTGTCTCCCCTTGTAGAAAAACTGCTCACCAAAGAACAGCCAGAATCAGCTGTGCACAGCTCCAGGCAGGTAAAACACAGGAGAACCTGGTTTTTGGGGGAAAAAGCACTTATGATGACCATATTTATTAGCTGATCTGTTTCAAGAGGATGATGAGGCTATATGTTAGACACAAATGTTGATTTTGACTGCCAGASAAGACTCTGTTTTTTCTCATCCAGACAGCATCTACAACCTCACCCAACCTCCCTGACCATGACCAGAGTCCACCTGCCCACAGACCAGAGGGTTTTGGGTATGACCTGAGGCAGAGGGTGTCCTACTGAAGGTTTTCTCAGGGCTCCACCCCTGTGATGTCCGTGGGGTTGAGAGTGCTCGTTCCACACTGTGGGATCAGTCTGACTGGGGAGGGCAGTGGGAACTGTGAGCAGTCAGTGATGAAGGGAAAAAACTGGAAACTAAAGGAAGAAACACCTCCTTGAAAACTCAGACTACGTGGGTTTGCAGCTTTACTCCATTTTGCGATCAGTGATTACAAATAAATATCCAGCAGCAGCACTGAAAGTGTCCTTGATCAGCTTTGGGGGCAGGATGGCAGTAACAAGAGCTCTGTAGGGCCACAGATCYTTCAAACATCTGATCATCAATGGAATTTTGGATTTTTTTTAGAAGAAAAGAAAAAAAGTRAAGAGATGGGSCCCCTTCTGTTYCCAAMCTTCACATAGCTRGGAYCATTTGTCCCYCCATGCCCAGGTACCCTGCTCCTGSAGCCCCCTCATTGCCAATGAGCAGCAGTATCTGGTGGCTCAACAGGCACCCTGACTGCCCAGCCCTCTGCAGGGATGTGRGGACGGAACTGGGGAGCTCCAGATGCTGATTGAGGGGTGAAGAGTGCTCACCCAACACCCAGGACCACATCCCTGTGCTGGAGTGTCACCATCTGGCTGGGCTGGAGCAGGGAGCTTCTGGTGATGGGCTCTCCTGGACAGAGCTTGGTGTTTAAGAATTGGGAGTTTAATAAGCCCCAAGCCCATTGTGATGTCCATGTGCCTGACACTCCTGCACCCCATTTCTGCTTGAGGGTTGAGCCCAAAACCCACTGAAACCCCCTGGGCAGAGTAAATTCAGCACCAAGCAGAGGCACAAACCAGCTGAATTACCTGTGATTGCTCCTGCTGTGTACACATGAGATGCAATCAATGCACGTCACCYACATTTCAGCCTCTGCTGGCACTGCTGGAATCAGCAATATTTGCCTTGCCCCACTGATAAGCAGCTCCCCAATTAGTGAATGTGCTCCTCAGCAAGATGCAGAAATGCCATCTACCTATGGGCCCAACAAGCTTCACCCAATCAGAGACCAGCCAAAATACAGGCAGATGATGGAGATTAGGCCAGTTTGCTACAAATTGCTTTAAATCTTGCAGCCACCAGCTCACCAACATTAGGGGAGCACTGCTGGCAGCACTCAGAAGCCAGCCTGGGATTTCACAGACCGTGGAGCCTTCTGTTTTTTGGGGCTGATGGAAACTGCTGCTGCTCTCCTCTCCTCATGGGAGAGTTGTTTTTACTCCCTGACTCCCGTTTCTGCAGGAAAGAYCCTCTCCCACATCCTCCCTTTTGTGCCTTTTGCTGCGATGTCAGAGGCCATGTCCTGTTTCTGCTGCTCTTCTCCCCAGAGCTCTTCCCTCCAGGGAGGCTCCAGCACTTCCTAATCTGCTCAGAGATGAGGTCCCTTGATGACAACCTAGACCATGTCTGTTCCTTGGGGACAGAGGAGACCTTGCAGCATTGTCCATCATGCTCTGCSCATMCCAGCTCCATCCCAACTCCTTTCCCACCTGGCTCTAGTAGTTTCCTCTCAGCTGTTCCTGCCTGATCAGGGATGTTTTCTCTGCCCATGGATCTTGCCTATCTTTATTTAAATACTCAACAGGCAGAGGAAAACCCAGTTTCTCTGTTCAATCCATCTAAGCCCATCCTGACCCCGACCTCACAGTCCCCCACTTGTCTAGTGCTGGCCACAGCATGCAGGTGAGGGCTTTGGCTCCATAACCCAACTGAAATCTCATCCCAAAAAATGCAAATAATGTGCTCCCAGCCAGCCCAGCAGGCTGATCTGACCTCACAGAGTAACAGAATCACAGAATGGTTTGAGGGGCCCTAAAGATCATCCAGTCCTAAGCCCCTGTCACGGGCAGGGACACCTCCCACTATCCCAGGCTGCTCAGAGCCCCAAGGATGGGGCATCCACAACTTCCCTGRRAAACTTCTTCCAGTKCCTCACTGCCCTCACWGGGAAGAATTTCTTTCCAACTTGCCCCACAGGAGCTGGTGCTGACACAAGGGAGGGGACAGAACCMCCTCTGATCACCTCCATCTCTGCTTTTCATCCCATGGCTCCCTAAAACAAAATGTTGAGAGAGCAGGGACTGAGCTCAGGCTGTCCCTGGGTGGGAGTCAAGGATGCTCCAGCCTTGGCACTGAAATGTGTCTCCTACAATGTGCCCCACCCCAGAGGTGAGCTGGGAGAGCCCCTGTCCCTGCAGGGCCCGTGCTCTGCCTCGCTGGCCACTCCTGAACCCTTCCACCCACTGGTTCTAATGCAGTATCAGCCTTTGAGGTGGGGGTTKAATTCACATTTTATCTGGCAATGGTTTATAACATCWCACAGTATTGAAGAGGAAAAGCCAWTGTGTGCAGCGATGTTTGCTGTAGCATAACAAACTCCAGGGAGGACTGAAAGAAACCCAGCTTTTCAGCAGGCCCAAGGACCACTMAATCCAGGCTATTTTGGACTAAAAAATATAAGCTGACTGAAGTATGTTTAAAAGGACATCAACATCTTTGGTATCACCCCCTTACCTTCCCCACCAGGGATTAAAATCAGAGAGCCTCATACTTTGGGAAATTAAGCAGGTCTATCTCCAAATTMATGTATGATGCATCCAAGTAGGACAAAGGTGCAAATAATGACAAGTAATCAGACTCTTCCAAAATTGTCTTTAAACTTTTAATAGTCTAACACACTTTTAGTAACACAGTTGGCATTCAAAATATATATTATTTCATTTCAACAATATTCCCTTAACTCTGTAGTTCTACTTGAAGACAAATCACTTGTTGTGTTGTTTTCAAAACATTCTTGTGCTGGGTTACCTCTACAGTGCAATTGGGACCTGCTAGCACTTACAACATCCACTTCCTCTCTGCTAAAAAATGACATTTTTCTGTAAAAACA